TCCACTCACCTCAGCCTCTCAAGGCGCGGGATTACAGGCTGAGCCACCGAGCCCGGCTAGAACTGAGAATGTTGAGAGCAGGAGCTGAGCCGGCGCCTGAGCCTCACAGCCTGAGCCCCACAGGGGAAGACACCTGCCACAGGTAGACCACCAAATAGACAAGGATTTCGGACATCTTTCTCGCTGTCCCATGCAGGAGGCATCTGGCAAGCCTCGAGCCCTCCATCTCGCAAGGTGGGAATGAGAGGTGTCTTCCCTGCCCCACTTCCCCAGATGACAGGAAGGTGATGAGGAAATTTGTGGAGAATGTGAACTTCCTCCCCCTGCCTGCTTCTCCCTGGCCAGGACAGTGGGCATGGGGGAGACAGGTTTTGCTCAGGTTTTGCTGCAGAATCCTCTAGAGGGGAGAATGCTTCCTGGCTCCCCAGCTTTTACATACCAGCCAGCAGAACTGGCATCACTTTGGTGTGTGCCATTTCTGGCCTTGGCCTGCTTCAGAAAAAAGTGGGTTTGATGCCAAGCCCAGACAGGAGTGAGAGAAAAAAACAACAGTTTCACCTCAGGGTCGGGATGCTGACCACAAATGCTCCATTCCCTTCCCTGCTTTCCCCTGTTGCTTCTACTATGTAAAATGACAGTCACACCCTTACATTAAAAAAAAAAAAAACCTAAGGCCACCTTGCTCTGTCCTTGCCCAAATCCTCTATTCCATAGACTCCGACAATGGAGAAAGAGATAACAGAGGGTGGAAATAAAATCATATTGAGTAGGTGCAAGAACGTGTAAGTCTTCAAGTCCTATAAACTGGAAGGTAGTTTAAAACTGCTGCTATTAGCAGTCCTTTTAAATGCTCTTACCCATCCATTCTACAGTCTTGACTTTTTTAAGCCAAGAAGTGCCCTGAGGCTGGGAGTCCTGAGTGGAGGGGCAGAAAGCCGTCTGTCTCATCAGACTTCTAGTCTCAGAGTCACCACTGATGAGCCAGGTGACTCAAGCTGGCCATCAGACTCCTTGGGCTGTGGCTCCCTCCTCTGAAAAATGGGGACTCATCATTGACATTGGAAACGTATAATTAAGGAACAGACTAGAAAGTCCTTTGGGGAAGATACAAAGACCAGGTATGAGTGCAGCAGTCATCATCATCACCCCAGGCACTATAGACGTGGTCCTCCTGGACTTCAAGTCGGCAGCGGGTTATGAGAGGGGCCACTGCAATGTCTCTTAGGGACAGGCGTGGTACCGAGTGTAAATTAAGGCATCTGCCATCCAGTGTGGACATCAGGTCTACCTGGGTTCTCCGTACCCAGGGGAAGAGAACCTAACACTGAATGGGCCTGGTGTGGCCATCCTCAGAGGGCTTCTGAAACAGGAAACAGCCCTTCAGGCCAGTTTAAGTAGAGGTTTGAGGTTAGGCGAGGGTTCCCCAGCCTTGGGGGTAAGATTCACCTGGGTTACCGACATTTTGCTTCCAGGTCAGAAGAGGTTGTTCTTGTAGAAAGAAGCCCACACGGAGGATGCTCTGTGAGCTTTACATCAAACAGGACCCCCAGATAGCCCACACTGCACTGGTCCACTCACCAGAAGGCTCTCCAGGTGGAGAAGCCGGCCCCTCGCAAGGGGAGGCTGACAGCCAGGCCCTCAGGGAAATTCTGGATCCCAATTCCAATGGCCAGATTCCTGCAAGATCAAGAAGGCATGTGAGGCTGCTATCTAAACCATGTTCCCACACGACAGGAGCTCCGGCCTAGGCCCAAAGCCCTCCCTTGGTGCTAGCAGACCTGTGACCTGCGGCAGGAGGAGGAAGGAGAAAGGTGAGGGCGCACATGTAGGTAGAGAGCATGCACTGCAGGAAGGAGTGCCACAAGTCCTCTACCCGCCATCCTGTCCTAGGTCCCTGGGCATACTCCACCCTTAGAGTGCTTTGGTCCAGCAGAGAACACGCTGGCTGGCTGTCAGGAGTGGCCCGAGTTCTGTCGCTTGGCTGTATCGGTTCACACCAATTGATTCACTTTCTACGCTTCCATTTCTTATCGATGACTAGGGGGTGACAATGTATACCGTGAAGGATTGCTACATGACCCAATGATACCTCGAACGTTCCCAGCACGTAGGAGGTGCTCAATACATTTTGGTTTCTGTTCTCTTACGGGACATCTTATCCAGAAGCAACTTCAGATACAGGACAAAGAAGGGCAGATTCAAAAGCCGACGGCGCCACACACCTGGCTCTGGGCTTGGCTTCTCCAGGGACTCGGCACAGGTCTGGCACCCGTGTCGTTTATCTTTGGCGCTGTGCCAGCTGGTGCCTGTCTCTGAGCGCCTGCCTTGCCCACGGACCATGGGTTGGAGTGCAAAGGGAGGAGAGGCAGAAGGAGGGGCTGACAGATGCAACCGTGACCCCGGGCCTGGCTGCAGGGGGCTTGTCATGTAGCAAAGGAGACGAGACACGCCCATCAAGGAAGAAGCCTCTTGCGTATGCCACACACTGCTTCATGTCTGTGGAAGGTCAGCTCCCAGAGGGAGCAGAGGCATGTTGGGAGGGAAACGGGGTCCATCTGAGGCAGCAGTAAGGCCCGTTGAGGGTCTTCCTGAGACTCTACCTTGGCCCGACAGGTCCAAGGAGCAGCCCCTCCACAGAGGGCCATCTGAGCCACAAGGATCTCAAGGGTGTAAGAAGACGTCACTTGGCAAGAAATGTGGTCTGAGGGAGTGGTGGGTGGACCAGAGAGATAAGAGAACTTCTCCATCATCTGGTTTCAGGTCAGTTGGCTCAGGACTGCCCACATTGCTGCCAGTAGGAATCCACCCATCGGCTCTGGACAGAGACAAGGGAGAGCTGTAGACCAGCTGCTGGGCCTACCCTATCCTGCCTCCCTACCCCACCCCCACCCCAGGGACTGGGACACGCTCGCTGCCTTAAAGGCCTGTCACCAGCTCTGGCTGTGGCCCCGTGTTCTGGCCTTCAGCAAAGAACACCAAGGACGATTCCCCCGTGTATAATATCGAATCTCTGTTGCTTGGGGACTTACGCTTCACCCCCTTTGGCCTTTGGCCCTCCAGCTCATGCTCACAGCTCCAGACACCTCAGGAGGGGGAAGCCCCAGCCCTGGGGCTGCCAGTCAAGGAGGTACTCAGGAAAAAACCAACCCTACCAGAATCTTGAACTTGTAAACATTTAGCTTGAATGTGGTTCGTTTCATTAGTACTCATCCCATCCCTTCTTGACAACTGACAATGTTTCCCCTCAACATCTAACCATAGCTTATCACAGTGATGGCATCCGAAAAATGATAAAGGAATTGTTACGGTGTCTTAGGGCCGATGAGCCTGTCTCCCTCATCCTTCACCAAATTGAGAGGACAGGCAAGACACACACTACCAGCCCAAAACTTGTCAACCAAGTCCCCTGGCTGCATCACCCTGTGTCTGCTGCCTCTCTCACAAATCCAGCCAAACCCCTGTCTATGTCTCTGTATCTCAGGCTGTGCTATGTATCTAGGGGAAAGTAAACCTTTTCTGTCAAGGGCTGAGCAGTAAATATTTTAGGCTTTGTGGGACACTGAGTCTCTGTTGCATCTGTTTAACTCTGCTGTCATAGTGGGCAACAGTCATGGACAATATATAAACAATTGAGTGTGGCTGTGTTCCAGTAAAACTTTTTTTTTTTTTGGAACTGGAGTCTCTGTCGCCCAGACTGGAGTGCAGTGGCCGCTCCCGGCCACCGCAGCCTCGACCTGCTGGACTCCAGCGATCCTGCCTCAGCCTTCCAAGTAGCTGGAACTACAGGCGTGCGCTACCACGCCCGGGTAATTTTTTTATTTATTGTAGAGATGAGGTCTCACCAAGTTGCCCAGGCAGGTCTCGAACCCGCGGGCTCAGGCAATCCACTCACCTCAGCTACCCAAGGTGTGGGATTACAGGCTGAGTCACCGAGCCTGGCCGGTAAAACTTTTTTTTACACAAACAGATGGTGGGCTGGATTTGGCCTGTGGGCCATAGTCTGCTGACCCTTGACCTGATAGCTTGGTGGTTGCAGAAAGATCAGATAAGATGGAACCTCAGACCCTGGGCGTTGAGTAACCTGTCCCTCCTGAGGCCCTCCCCCATCATGCATGTGGTCGTTGAATTCTGGGCTTTACAATCAGGTGTCTTATGTCCAAATCCTGGGTCTGTGCTTTGTTAGCTGTGTGTCCTTTCACTTCTCCAACTGTAAAATTTGAAGAACAATCACACTTGCCTTCCCCTTTCATAGGGTTGCAGTGATGGTTACCCGGGATGCTTCGTCTAGAGCCCTTAGCACACAAGAGCTGGTATGCAGTAAGGACCTAATGAATGTCTGTCCTGGGGCGGGGGTGAGGTTTCTGTGTGAGCTGATGATAGAAGAGGTGACAGAGAAATGGGACTTGGGGCTTCTCCAGAACTCGTGAGTGCTCTTTCCTAGACAGGCTGAGAACACTTCCCCAGGAAACAGAACTCACTCCTTTGCAAGGCCGTGCTTCAGACCGACCTGGCCTGGCTGTGCCCTGTCTGTGCACTCACTCATCTGTTCTTGCTGATACTTCTGTGAGACTTTGATGTCACTTCTAAGATTTTGGTGAGAGCCACCGTGCAACAAGGTCTTTTTTGATACTGTCCTCCCGCATGCTGGTCGGTCTGTTTGGGTCCCCTGGAACTCCCAGGAGACAGGGACTCTTGCTTCTCCTAGGCTAGCAACCTTTCTCCCATCACCTCTAGGCCCCATTGAGCCCCAGTAAATGCCTGGACACAGGACCCTTCCCTGGGCACAGAGGAGATGGCAACGCAAGTCTAGGGGTCTGAGGAGCCCAGGCTTGACTATTCTACTGCTCTTGTAAGTATAGAAAGCTTTGTTGGATAATGAGCCCCGGTGGTCACCTCGGTGACCCTGAAGATTCTGTCCTGAGCAGCTGCAGGACAGTCTTACTGTCTCTCACAAGTGCCCCTCCTAGGTGAGGTCCTGGGCAGGGAGTCAGCTGTAGCTTACACCTCCCTCAAGGTGGTCCTGATCTGACCTGGTTTAACAGGAGAGGAGGAGGATTAGGAGACATCAGATGGCTAAAAAAAAAAAAATCTGGCCAGAGATTTTCAGGAAAAAAGTGTTGTTCTGGTCCCTTGCTTTTTAAGTGGGTGTATGGGGGTGGGTGCAATAGGCCCTGCTTGGCCATCTTACTTTTCTTCCTCTTCTGGGAGGAAACCACCATCCCCAGCTAGTCTACAGGGCAAGATGAAAGGGTCAGGAGTTCCCTCTCTCATCTCGAAAGGTCCCAGGCTCCCCTCCTCTGTGGCTCTGCCAGGGGGCTGAGGAGTGCCCACCTCCAGCAGCTAGGTATAGAATCAGAGTTAGCCTCCCTTCTTGCCTCCCAGCCCTGAGTCTTTGGAAGACACCGTCAAGCTCTGCTCAAGTTGTAAGACCCTGACGAGCATGCTCCAACCAACCATGGACAGAAATGCAGCTTGTTCTAGAGGTTTCTGCTACCAGTTTCACGTTCAAGCCAACCCTGAGCTCCTATCCCAGAAACAGGAAGCATTGGAAATATATTTCTGTTGAGGAAACAAATCTTAAGGACAAATTCTGGCCACCATTTCACAAGCCCCTACCCTGGCTTCTCAGACAGGACCTCGTAGCAGGGCCCTTTGCCTCTAAGCCTCCTCAGTATCCCCTTGCAGCCCCCAGAATGGTTGACTGGACACAACCAGCTTTCTTGACCTTTTCAAAGCTCCGGGTCCAAAGTTTCTTTCCAATGAGGAAGGCCAGGGCTTCTTTCTGACCAGGTCTCTCAGCCTTGATCTGACACGAAGACAGCGCTCAGTGGATGGCTCTCAGTCTTCTGCCATTGTCCGCACCCCACGTTCATAGCCAGGCATGCGACGTACTTACTCCAAGCGCAACCAGGGAGGCGCCAGCCCAATGCCAGCAGTAAGCCAGAGGTGGAACTCCCTGTCCAAAGTCCTCGCCATGACACGGCACCGACTGCAACCACTGGCCCGTCAGACTGTGGAAGCCTCCTCCCTCTCCTGCCAGGCACCACCGTCCTGATAAGCAACACAGAAACCCCATTCTTCCACGCTTGGCAAGCCTCATTACCTCTGCCCTGCCTGGCTGTAGCCGAAGCAGGTGCCACACCCTCTGGGTCCTGCCAGGCCTTTCTCAGCAGGGCACTGCCTCGCTGGGTGACCCCAGAGTCCCTCCTGAGCTCCTTGCCCCAAGCAAGAGCTGGAGCCACAGCCTCTCTGTCTTTTCTACCTTCACACACGACCCTTCTTGTTGTGAGTTGGGGGTCTCAGGCCATTGCCCAACCTGGAGTGCAGTGGCATGATCACAGCTCCCTGAAGCCTCAACCTCCTGGGCTCAGGCAATCCTCCTGCCTCAGTGTCCCAAAGTTCTGGGATTATAGGCATGAGCAATTGCACCTGGCCTCACACATGACTCATCTTAATTTGGCTCGTCTTTAAACACACACACACACATACATACATACGTAGTATATGTGGCCCAGGCATGGTCCACCCACGTTCCTTGCCCTGCTATATGTTGTATGTCCGTTAGGTGCCCACTAGGTAGGGGTGACCCAACAGCGGAGCCCAGTCCCCCATGCCCACTCCTCTTCGCTGCTTTCCTCAGCTCCAGAATGGGATTTGAATTCACAGCTCTCAAACCT